TAAATATAGTCTGTCTATATCCTATAAAACAACAGTCACGTTCGCGTGATATGCTGACGGAGATGACTGTACTGCAAATTGCAAGTAGCCGGCGCACGAAACGCGAATGGATGTTTGGCCATTGGGGGCCACCCGACGAAAGCGGCAATACGCAATATGGGAGCGATGCGGCCGTTTTGTTTGATTCAGATTTCAATGATTTTTGCTGCACCTGCAATCAGGTAAGAACTCTTGGCCTTCCGCTCACATGAACATGTAAATCGACACGAACGGCAGAGGGTCATCCACGAAAAAGCACGCGTTGAGAAGTCTAGCATACTCATGTACCGAGACAGACCATCTTCAGATTTAGTGCTACTCATTTCAGTAAAACCAATTAAGCAAGCAGTCGCAAATTTTTCAGCATGTTATTTTAGAAATGCTTAGAGTTACACTATCACAATTCGAAACGAATTTTCGATTGTTCATTTCCGCCTCCCGTTTGCATTGCGTACGTAAGCCTGCTCTTTATACGACTGAATCGTTGTAAATCAAATATGTGGCGCTTTTTTGCCAAAATTTTTATTAAATTTTATTGCACCAAAAAATGCATTTGCATCGCTGAGATACTTTGGTTTTTGTCCCCCAACTGTGGTCAGTTTTCCCTGTTTTTATGCGTCTTTACATGAATCAGAAGGGTGTGATAAAGTAAACAATGACATGTTGTTGTCTTTTGCTAAATCTTCCACCTGCTTGGCTTCCCTCATTACAAAAGTTTGACTCTCGCTTGGCGCGCTACTTTTAATGGAGTTATACATAGGTACGACTGGGTATACTGGATGATCGTACGTAATGAGTTTACCTCCATAAAACAAGTGACAGCATATGTGGAAAGAAAGTGAGACCCTAGGCCAGAACGCACCAGGCCTGCCGATGCAATCATGCGTTCTCGTATTATATTTGAAGCAGTTAGGTAGTTAACTGTATGAATAGTTGTTAATTGCGTTTGATTTATGTACTCATTAGCATAAATCAACGTACTCTTGCTTAAATAAAGGTAAACAATTTTGGTCGGACGGTCGTTCTTTGAAATTAATCTAGCTGTTCAATCAGCAATTTTACCGTCAAGATTTTCACGTGCCCGTACATAGGGATCACGCATAATTGACAGCTGAATTTGAAGCCTCTAAGTTGTATATGAACGGGGAATATCCCTTCAAAACTTCAGTCACCCAACTTTTCTGGTTCCCGAGTTAACAATTTTCCCGCCAAAAATTCCACTCGGCCGTGAGGTAACATTTGGTCGGAGAACCTGGCAAAATTTCAGTGCAGAAGCTTGTTTGGCTGCCCAGTTGAAATACCTGGACAGATACGCACACATTTAAACACCATGGATCATCACAGTTTATTGCATTTGCATACACGCAAAAGGGCATAATAAAATAGGAGACAGGAAAGGACAGAGATGGTCTTTGGAGGACAAGATGATGAGGAAAAGAAATTTTCTTAGTTGGGACAGTAGCCACTTTTATAGAGTACGTATCACATCTCCAGACCTAGCACCACGCAGCGCGTTGTTACGATATGTCGGTTTAAATCAGAATGTGCAAGGTTTCCCTTAAGTGCATAATTAGAAAACAAAATTTGTTTTAAGGGTGCTGCAGGGCCTGCCGGTGCAGAAGGAGATCCTGGTGACGACGGAGAGGATGGGAAGAGCGGGCAAGATGGGAATAACGGTGCTGATGGACAAACAAAGCCAGCCGCACATGTCGAAGCCTGTCTTATATGTCCTCCGGGGCGTCCTGGTGCACCTGGAAATATGGGACCAAAAGGACCACCTGGACCAAAAGGGTCGCCTGGAGATGCACCTAAGGATGGCGTCAACGGCGAAATGGTATGTCCAGCATGTTTCACCATCACATTTCTCTTTACATAGTTACTAGCAAGACCAAAAAATTAGTTCATGCACACCAAACGGCTTTGTCATCCCAAAGTCAACAAAAAAATTTACCTAAATGGTTTCCCAAAAGTCTCGAATAAAAATCTCATTTCATTTAGGGCACGTCAGGACAGCCAGGAGCAACTGGAAGACCCGGAAGAACAGGGCTGCCAGGGACGAGGGGATCACCAGGCCGCATTGTATATACGGTCGGTCCACAAGGGCCACCAGGTCCGCAGGGTCCACAGGGACCACCAGGTCCGAAGGGAATGCCAGGACCAGACGGACAGTCTTTTGCAGGACCTCCTGGCCTTCCTGGAGAACCAGGACAAACAGGACCCGAAGGACAACTGGGCAAGGCGGGTCCGCAAGGAGCGTCTGGTGAACCAGGAGAACGTGGTACATGCAAGCACTGCCCATGTAAGTTCCATTCACAAATTTATTAATCTCCTGAGCAACAAATTTCATTTAGTGAAGGTTCGAAATCTAAAACTGGCCTGTCTAAAACAGCTTTCTTTTTCCATTCACCGAAGTTCACCTCTAGATACTGTCCCCTACACTCATCCTTTTATTTCTTGCAAGTTAACTTAGTTTAACCCTTTAAATAACTTGTTTTCATTTTATTTGCGTCCCCGACTTGCCCCTACTGCAGAAGCAAATGGTCAGAGTCCTTCACGGGATAATACCGTGATAAGTCGTGGAGTGAAAACCAAAACACATGAAACTTCGATTTTATGATTGCAATATAAAACACATGTTTCACTGTGGTTTCAGCGCCAAGGACGCCTCCTGGATACTGAAAAGAAAAGAAGTGGAGTCCACAGCGTTCACTGCTCTGCAAAATATATGAGACCTGCTTGTGTGACTCGGTCCGCTTGTTGTGAATATTGTTGCATCGCTCAAAACGCATTTCTCAATAAACTTCATTTTTATGCGTTTTTGTCTATATGCAAGTTGCAAAAATGCATACTGCATCGACCCTCTCTGTGTGTATGTGTATGTTTGTGTGCATGTATGTGTTCGTCTGTCCGGGTTTTTCAATTCGGCAATCAGGCAAGCTCCAGCGCCAAAATTTTGCGAGTGGGTTCCACGGCCAAGTGCTACCCCAGAGCCGCGGCACCAACCGTCAAGCAAGTCTGGGCCCCGTATAGAAGGTGAAAGTTTTGGCGGGAGAAATGATAACTCGGGAACGAAAAGGCTGAAATTTTGAAGTCATGTTCCCCGTCCAAATATAACTCAAAGGTTTCAAATTCAGCCCCAGATATGCGTGGTCCCCGCATACAGCCCATAAGGGCTCATGGCCC